ATCCTCCTTCGCCAATAATTTTTATATTTTTTAGTCTGTCAAATCAATTACATTGTCATATGCTATAGCTTTAAATTAAAACTTCTTAATGCAATCATCAACGTTCTTATCACCACTTGTCCATCTTGAGATATCGGCTGGCTTTTCTATACACCTGTGTACAATTAGAAATTGCCTAAAAATAACCCACTAAATAAAATATATTTGCTCTTATCTAAATTTTACTCTACCACAAACTTATCAGATAAATTATAATCGATAGTTTACGTATTATTCGTTATAATACAAAAACCTTGATTATAATCATTGTGCCATTACGTTATATTCATAATCACTGATAATAAACACACCAATTCACAACGCACAAAAATTCAAAGTACTATATTTAATCCCTTTATTAAACTTGCTAGACGTCCTCAAATGTTACATCAATTGCGCTTATTAATTATTAATAACTACTCTAATACTTTTTGAGATATAAGTGTTCCTTCGATAGTATTTAGTGATTATAAAACCCACAACAGTTGTGTAACAGTCTTTATGATTCGTTATTCATTATTACAATCTGCTTATGTCGACCAATAAAAATGTGTGATTTGCAATATTCCACTGTTATCATGTCTCAACATTTATTTTTGTCTTCACGAAACTTTTTCGCAGGCTTTAATAAAGCTAAATTGGACATTCTATAAATTTCATAATCAGCACCCTCTTCGTAACCATGCCTGCGCTTAAGAATACTTCGAGGTGGGGTAGATGGTGTGATCAAAGTATTCGCTGGGACCGTGCTATCTTTAACGTACTCTGTAATTGTAAAATCACATCAAAGTTAACTAACATTAGATATTATTTACAATGAGAAATATATTAGGATTAAACCTCGTGTAACATTAACACCCCAGCTAATGGACTTCGAAGCTCTTTGGGATCTATTGATTCCGGATATATCTCTTAACAAATTTGGTGTTTCAGAGTCGGATCTGGAGGCTTCGTCCATTTCTTCTGAAGCATTGTCGGACAATTTATCAGTAATTTCAGTAATAGTCTGAAGGTATTTTTGTGCAATTATCTTCGCCTGATTTCTACATCTTGCAGACATATTGTCATCATTAATAATTTGGATCATCTTATTTACGATTTTTGTTAGTTCAAGTCTGATGTGACGCGCCCCTTCACCTATATTGAAAAAATTTTTAGAATTCAAACAAAGCTTTCTGCAAATCAGGTCGTGTACTTACCGATCGGAATAACGGTTAATATTTTTTCAAGCACATCTTCCGATAT